TCCTCCTGCTGCTGCTCCTGCTCCTGCTCCTTCTGCTGCTGCTGCTCCTGCTCCTGCTCCTGCTCCTGCTCCTGCTCCTGCTCCTGCTGCTGCTGCTGCTGCTACTACTACTACTACTGCAACACTGCCACTACCCGCTACCACTTGTACCTCTTTCTCCTACTGCTGCTGCTGCTGCTGCTGCTGCTGCTATTCCCCCCCCCCCTCCTACTGCTACTGCAACTGCTCCTGCTGCCGCTGCTGCTCCTGCTACTGCCGCCGATGCTACCACTACTACTGTACAACTGTACTACGTCAGCACTACTGCTGTATTAGCACTCTACTTCTACTGTATTACTACTTCACTACTACTGCGTTACTGTTGTACTACTACTGTACTATACCACTTCTGTGAGGCTACTTTCCAGCATACTACTCTGTACCAGTGTTGTGCTATTAATGTTGCACCAGTACTGTATTATGACCATGCTTCTACTGTACTATTACTGTGGCCCTACTGTACTTGAACTCTACATACCTCTGCTTGAACTGTACTACCACTGTAGTACCACTGTGCTGTATTACGACGCACAAACCCCCCACACCTCGTTAAGAGCCTGTCTCCCTCTACAATGCCGGGATGCACCGCCAGACCTCTGAAGAGCCTCTACAGCCCTGGACGTTTTGGGGAGGTCCATGACAACGGGTGCATGCGTCTTTGAATGAAGTTTATCCGGTGTGGCAGGTGCAATTTCTCCCTCTTTGGCTTGCTCCATGGTTTCTGTCGGCGCAAATGCTGGGCCTGCTTGGTGCGACGGGCATGTGCCGAGGTGTTTAACATCCTTACATGTCTAAGGTTTGTTGTCTCTGACAAACCATAAAGGCTGATCCAGGAATCCAGGGGTATCCGGCGGCCAAGAGCGCAGACGGGGCAGGGATCCGATTCACGGAACGAGACCACTTGACGGCGGCTCAGCCGACCACCGTGTCATCGAGAGTGCGAGACTATTGCACTCCAATGTTGCACATGAATCGTGGAATTGTAAGAAACAGCCCGTGCGAATGAACCTTTAAACTTTCGAAGACAGAGTCAAGGTCGGGCCCAATTTTTTATTAAGAGCTACGTGTTGGATTCTGTTGTGATGTTCACTGGAGGTACATCTTTTATGTCACCGACATGCAATGGGTTCAATGGATCACTTCGGGTGGACTAGCGCTTAATGCGACAATTGCCGACTGCTTGGCTTCAAGTTTGTGGAGTCTCATTGCAGCGCCACCCCTGATCATCGCCTTTCGATCGAAATTGTGGTGCCATGCCGTGATGCTGGAGCAAATGGCAAGCTTCGACTACCGGGCCGCGCAGTGCACCTTGCAGTCGGACCGTGATTTGGTGGAGCAGCAAATCCAGGAAGTCTTTCGTCCCCAAGGGCTGCACGCGCAGGATGCGGATGAGAGCTCTATGGGATGGACAGCAGCGGCCTGCGACACGGAGGCAGCAACATCCTTGCAGTCTTTCAATGCGTACGTCAAGGGTCCTTTGCGAGATGCTGTGCTACAAAGCATCGGAGATGAGCTCTATGTGCCTTACTGGCTTTGCTTGATAACTGGTTTGCCTATAGCTTTCCTCTCCTCAGCGGATTTCCTGTCGTGCATTGATGAAACCTGCTTCCAGAAGCTTGGCTATTCCGGTCCGGGTGCCTTTCTCCTGTCAGAAGTGACGGGATGGACGATGACAGTCTTTTTGATTCTTCCCATCTTCTACCCCTGCTGTCTCCGAATGCTGAAGGGCGCACTGTCCATACAGTCTCGATGCTTGCGGCTCATTCTGGTGGTCTTAAGCGTCTTTCTGGCGTTTGTCTACACGTACCTCCTGTTCGATCTTGATTTCGACCTTTTGCTACTGACGGCCGCTTCTCTGCTTAGCAAATCGGTTTTCTGTACATGTGGCAGCAAAGTAAGCAGGCCGTGCCACTGATTTGAGCTGCTCGATCCTTTGGCTTTGCTCTGGTTTGCTGTAGGTTGGCAGTCTCGTCACTAGTCTCCAAAGCAGGCGAAATCCGAGCAAGGCTCGGAATTTGCTGGCTTCCTTGCTTTATTCTTCCTGCTCCTGGTAGTCGTGATGGTGCAACTGAAATGGCTCTTCAATCTGGAAGGCCTCAGCCGCGTGTGTTCGAGTATTTCGGAGGGTGTGAGGTTGCTGCAGATTGAGCTTCTCGACTGCTGTAAGCTTCATGTCTCTGAATGCATTGAACGTGCTGCCACAGTAACAATTAAGTCGGAACAAGCATGAGGATGTTGTTCGTGCTCTGCGCATGTTATATGTCTGTTGTTTGTTGGCAGATGCCTCTCCCTGCATGCCCGCACCCACCCCCAGCTTGCGATTCTCCCTGTGCATGGGGCAAGGCCACGTGTGTTGCTTGAAGGTCATGCTCACAGTCTATAGATCCGAACTTCGCCAAGTCTCGTGTTCGCTGCTCGTCTTCGTGCGCACAACTTGAAACTGTGCGCGTGGAACAGAGACTCGGCTCAGGGCCGCAGCTTTGGCGCTGCACTTCGCGATGTTGCTGGTACATGGAGGAGCGGTCCTATCGGCAACTTTATCCGGACATCTACGAAGATGACGAAGCTGTCATAATTTAGGCAGTTAGTTTCTTGCGCTATAATTACTACGTGCTGACTGCAGAACTCTGCGGTTGCCGACCCCTTCAATTTTCAAGCAGAGCGGACGTGGAGAACCCATATCTTCCATTTTCAAAGCTGAGCGGACGTTGAGAAGCCACAGGGAAATACATATCTAGGTTGGCTAGCTAAACTTTGCACTCAGACGAATACTATAGCCCCCAATATATGACTTGCCTTCTGTATTGCAGCCATAGGAACTGGAAAGCAAAGCCATGCTCATCAAGTTCAAGCTGACTATATGCCCGGATCTGCCCCCGTGTGCGAGACCCCGTCACGTCTTCCCCAGTTGCGATCCGACCCTTGCAACGCGAAAGCATTCCCGAAGAAGCCTTCACGATTGCGGCTTCAACTGTCAAAGTTCACTCGGGGCGAAAACCTCACATCTTGGCCACCCGGAGAACTGGTCAGATTTGCCTGAAGAAAAGTATCTCCTATGACGCTGTGGTGCAGACCCGACTCTACACGAAGTCGGAAATTCTAAGACCAGTCCTTGGATCCCCGATGATCGCGACCAACCTGAGGTTCAGCGTTTTCGAGATGGAGCACACCATCCTACGAGCATGTTCACGAGCACCAAAGTTGGGATGGTTCCTACAATGCCAGCACCTCGCCTGCCCCAAGAACTTGCCTGTCATGGTTCATGCTGCTCCCAGCTATTGCAAATAAAGCCAGCCTTGGGTTGTGCGTTCAAGCTTCCGCCTGGTAGCCGAGTCACAACTTCTGTTCGGGGTCGCTACTCCTGGCAGGCGTCCGAACAATGTTCAAGGCTCACAAGGCTTCGCTGTGGAGTCAAAGAGGCAGGCCTGAGCGGACTCTAATCCGTGGCCCGGCAAGGAAAGGCTTCAAAGCTGGAGATCCCAAAGCCGAGATGGCATTGGCACAGCCAGCACCTGAAGCTACTGAGATGGCAGCTTTGGGATTCGAAGGGGTTTTGACTCTGATTTGGGGAGTTGGGGCCCGCATCACCGCCCACGCATAGGAAGAGACACACGCACACACACACACACACACGAGCGTTATCAAGAATCGATCTTTCCGTGATCGATTGAGTGTGTGTGTGTGACAGTTATCAATGTTTTCCATGCCTTCGACAAAACAGGACAGCACGTGATGATTCACTAATGGTGTCATCTGTGAACATGAACTTCATTTGGACATGGTGGTTGAATTGATTGTATAGATGAACTTCGTGCACTCGGTGGCATCTTCCGTCGAGCACTGCATGGGTTGCCAGATTTCGATCACTACGCGAAGCGATGGGTCACGTTCATCGAGGATCCGGATCACTGTCTTCGATGTTCAAATCACTTTCCTCAATCTTTGGCTAGGTTTATGTCATTGTCGATACTGTCGATGCCAAGAATCCCGCTTGAGAATCTGTGCTGCAGCCTTAATGACCGCTTCGACATGAATCGTGCTCGAATCCCAAACCATGCTCTCTATTCAGCTGAGGTGAGCTTCGGAATCTTCTATCCCTTTCGATTCGGCTGCCCGCCGCTGCGGGTCTTCCATGCAGGCTTAGCAACTCGACATCAGATCGCACATGGTGTAGGCGCAGATTGTTGAGGCTTCGTCATCTGGAGGGTGATGTTGCCGGGGCGTTGCCAAACAGTTTTCCGTGATTGCCGCAGACCTCTTTCAAAACGGTTTGGGTTTGGCGGAAAGCAACCGCCAATCGACAAAAGCTGTGGTTCACCAAGCACACTCAAGAAGCCAAGGTGTGCGAGCAGCTGTTACTGAACTGTGGGTGCCGCTGCCAGAGTGTAAGAGTTGAGTTCAGTTTTGGTTGGACCCGGGTGGCGGGTGTGCTAGTGACTGCCAGTGGCCTGGTGTTCCTGCCAAGTTCATGTGCTTTTCCTGTCCCGCTTGGCTGAAGGCAGTACTTGGTCGAAGCACTGGTGGTGGAAGACCCTCCCAGACGCCGCGTGGTGTTGCCACCGCTTCTGAATCTCAGCAACCTTAAAGGTGCAAATCGTCAAGCATGCCGTTACTTGTCGAGCCAGGAGTCATCAGTTGTATAGGGGATGTTGACAGCGTACTGTCAGGCATGCTCGAGCTAAGACTGTTCAAGTTCGGCAGACGGCACACAACACTTATAGACTGCCTAGACCGACGACCAGATGTCAGGAAGTACTATGCTGCTGACTTCGGCAGCTCTCCGTCGAACCTCGTCACCTTCGCTCAATCGACACTGGAGGCCATGCCGGAAGCCATCGACCGCCTCTCTACATACGGAGCAGTGAGCAGACGTGACGAGATGCTTCGAGGCTGATTAGTTTTATTTCTGTTCGCCAACTTCAGAAGCATGCGTCGGTTCTCTAGGGCTAGCTAAGCATGCCAGGAGTTGCCATGGTTCATTTGTGACTTCAGCAGAGGCTTGGGTGTGCGGCCCCCGCTTTGGCTGTCCGCCTCGAGCAATTGCGTGAGAAGGGCAGCTTCGCCTCCCTGGCTGCTTCCTTCTCCGACTTCGACTGGCACCTTGACGTGCCCAAGGCACCTTACCTGCATTCGTCGGCATGCAAAGACCGCGTGGGGAGGCCTGTGATTTGCTGGATGTCCGTCCTTAACATCTTGAGAAGTGTTCGATGGCTCGTCGAACCCATATCGAGCAGTCCGTCACCGCATACAACGTCGAAGCAAGCTTTACCTCGAGCTACCGCATTGCAAGGCCACGTGCTTCGGCCGACGTGGGGAAGCCCCCACCTGCCCAGTGCTTGAAGCGCTTGTGCACTATGGAGGCAGCCCGGCTCTGCAAAGTACAAACTAGGTGCAGGATAGTTGGACCAAGTCTTGTAGCAGTGGAGGGGGGCTTGCGGCCACTTCCCACAGCGAGTGTCCTGTGACTGCAACGTCTTTAGAAGAAATAAGAGCTTCTGTAAGGCGTTCACTTGGACGGTTTGGATTCCCATAGATCTGCAAAGGCTAGCCGTGGAGGATGTTGAGCCCAGCAGCATGAAAAAATGAACACAAATGTTCGTGGAGTCAGCCTGAGCCGGTATTTTGGAGAGGAAGCTTTCATCATAGAGTGAGTGAGAGTGAGTGTGTGTGTGTGTGCGTGTCTGTGTATATATATATGTCTATATGTGTGTATATTATATATATATTTGCGTTCTGACATGCACAGACAGCGTGATCTTGCTTTCCTCTTTTGCGTCTCTCCTTTCCGCTCTCTTCCCCTTTCTCTCCCTCTCTCTCTTTCTCTTTCTCTTTCTCTTTCTCTTTCTCTTTCTCTTTCTCTTTCTCTTTCTCTTTCTCTTTCTTTCAGTCTCTCTTCCTCTCTCCGTGTCTGCACCAGACGGCCATGCCTTGTCTTCTCT